TATATATATATATATACTTTCGAATTTTATAAAATCTATGACTCGGACGAGAATTTCATTGCGCGCGAAAATTAAATGAATGAATATCGTGGACACTTTTAAACGTTGCGCAATTCTTGAAAGCCATGTTCAAGCAATTGCAAGTGGCATGGCAAGTGTATAATGCGCAATAGAAACAATAGACGCCGCCAAAGTTTTTACGAGCGTCAAGAATTACTGCTGTCGATGATCCAACTCATGCTAATTTTATACATTCGTAGAAAATGCTACTATGTAATAGCTTCAAGAAATTTAGGCATATATATAATTCCCATTCCGCCGTTTCATGATTCATTTTCGATAAGTTTGACGGCATAATCATTTAACAAAATATTTGGTTACTTTTCTTCCAAAATTATCACTAAAAAAGAACCGGTTTTCTTAAATTAAACAAATAATTATTTAATTTATGAATTCGTAAAACAAATGGTAATAACGGAATATTCTGACATGTAAAAGATGTAAAATAGGCGGAAGTATTTAGAGGAATGATGTATAAAGTGAAGCATGAAATGCAGTTTACATTTATTGGAATGCTAAAAATGCATATAATTGTGGGTCATGTAATTGGAGAAGTTATAGTTCTTTTTCGCGATATTTAGGTCTTTCTAATCGTGATTGAGCGAAATTTAGTATAATAATATAGAAAGTGTACTATAAAATATCTTTGCCAGAGACATCATAATTTTAAATAATTATGAAATTCAAGAGAAAAATTGGAATCTATAAAATCTGAAATAATCTAAAGGATCTCATCGTCAGACCAAAGAGATATATATTATTGAAATCAAAGATGCAACACATAAAACATGTGTCAGCTTTAATTAATGAGCGTGCAAATAATATTAAAAGATGAATAGAGAAATGATTGGAAAAACGTCATCAGTTTTATTGATTCAACGATGAAAAAATAATTGGCACATTTATGTGTAGAAACTTTAATCCCCAAATCTTACACAAATAGCTTAATGGCACGTTAAAATAACAATTAAATTTCGGCTAAAATCCAGACTGAAATTTTATGTAAATTTGGACAAATGATTATCGAATAATAATCGGATTAATTGCGATTTTTCGTACAAAATTTTATTCCCACGCGCGTATAAAGTAAGAGAGAACATTATGTAACTCTTACTCAAAAATCAAAAATCACTTACAAGGAACCTTCGGCAACGCGAAAATTCAAAAAAATTTGAAACTTTGCATAATTATAGAGTAGTAGTTCCTAATAACGAAACAATTTTTTGTTGGTGCTAAAAATCGGTTTCAGGGGTGAAAACAACCCCTTAGAAAAAATCGGTTTTTACATTCCGAAGCAAATATTATTAAAACAAAAAGAAATATAAAAAAATTGTTTAAACAAAAGTTTTATGGTTTCAAATGTACTTTACAATGGCGTATCTGGATTTTAAATTTTTCGAAATATCCCTACCACTCAACATTTTTCTTTAATATTTTGAAAAAATTTTCAAATTATATTAAAGTACATTTGAAACCTTAAACTTTTGTTTAAACAATTTTTTCATATTTCTTTTTGTTTCAATAATATTCGCTTCGGAATGTAAAAACTGATTTTTTCTAAAAGGTTGTTTTCATCCCTAAAACCGATTTTTAGCACGAACAAAAAATCGTTTCGTTATTAGGGACTACTACTCTATAATTATGCAAAGTTTCAGATTTTTTTGAATTTTTGCGTTGCCGAAGGTTCCTTGTTAGTCGCATTTTAAGATGTCGTCATCACAAATTTGAAATAAACAGAACAATACGTCAATGAGTGAAATAATTAGTGTGCTTCAAACAATTCATGCTGACTGGAAGGAAAGGCGAAGATAGGAAAAAAAATGTGATTGCACCAACAATCTCGATTAATTCTCATCTTTGAATACAATTAAATGACTGTTACAATACTAATTAATATATAAATTATTCAAGGATTTGAATACTTTTCTAAATTTATAATTTTTTTTTGTTTTATTACCAACAGTTTCGATTAATTCTCATTTTTGAATATAATTAAATGACTATTACAATATTAGTTAATATACAAGTTATTCAAGGAACTGCATATTTTTCTAAATTTCTAAATTTTTTTTTAAATCACTCAAATTATCATTAGAATATTTTAATTTTAATTTCAATTTTCAATCAGAGAAATATTTAAACATTTAATGAATGTTGGTGCAACTTCAAAGAAATGTCGAAATAAATCGAGGCGAAGGAGTTGTGTGAGTTCTTTAGATTTCTCTCTTTCTCTTTCTCTCTCTCTCTCTCTCTCTCTCTCTCTCTCTTTCTCTCTCTCTCTCTCTTTCGATGACCTGGTCGTCATTGTTTTGCGGGCATTAACTAGAGTCTTAAGTGAAAGTGAGTACATCATACGTCATGTCACCATAGCCCACGGTCGTCATCGTGACAACGGCCCACCAGAACGCGTCCGGAATGGATTTGAAGAACGAATTCTCGGAGCCGGCCTCCGCGAAGTATACCGCCGACGAGAATAGCACCACACCTGCAATGCAAGGAAGAAAACACCGGTTCAGTGGGTTTAACGCCCCCGGTGGTTCTGTACCTCATATCGCCGTAGCCCACGGTCGTCATCGTGACCACCGCCCACCAGAACGCGTCCGGTATCGATTTGAAGAAGCTGTCCTGCGTGCCGGCCTCCGCGAAGTAGACTGCTGACGAGAACAGCACCACACCTGCAACGAACACAAGAGGAAGGCACGAGTCAAGACGGTGTACGTCATCATCCGCACTTGTCGCATATGTTGACACGTTCCGCGGACGCGGAACCCGACCACTAGGATCATCCGATCTGTGCGATCTTCTGATTAAGAGGTTCCACCCTGGAATCGCCCACGCGGTCATAGAGGGGATCGATTGATCGCACCTGGTCTGTTCAGATGTGATAATATATACGTTGAATATGTTACGGCATAATTACTGGGATCATCCTGATCTGGATAAACTCGCGATTGCATCTGAAACGTCCTAGAACTAGAATCAACTAGATTCCGACGACTTCTTCGACTAAGACACTTGCGACTCGTCGTCCAATGGCGAAGAAAAGATTTCTGAAGCTTATGCAATACTCATTGTCTTATTGTTGACATATTCGATGACGGAAATTTTCTTCGTCCGCATAAGGTTGAGAGCTTAGCTGTCGGCTGTAGAAGATCTTATCCTTGAAAGAGCTTAAGAGGGTTAAGTGTAGACGAACTTGAACTTGTAGTAGATGTTTAAATGAGATAATATCTCATTTAGAAAAGTAATTCTTGAATTGTTATAATTCTTTTTCACTATATTAGTTAACATAAACTTAAAAAAGTATAAATAAATTTCGTTGGTGAAATATGCGTATATGCGTTGACGCAATTAAACAAATAAATATTTAAAAAATTAGTAAAAGAATTGTAAAATAATTACAATTATGTCATTATGTCAGTATGACAGAAAATAAATAATTCCATTGTGATAATTTTATACAATAATCAAATTCCAATAAAAAAATTAATATTTTAACATAGCATCAGTTAAAAGTTAGAATCAATAGACCGATAACGCATTATTGTCAAATGGATAGTATCAAAATTATATATTTATCTGTAAAATGTAAAGTGTCGTGTACCGTGTATTCTACTTTTAAACTCTTAAAACTGGGCTCTAAACTTTTAAACCGTTTCTACGCAGCAACTTATAATTATAAAAATATGTAGTAACTAAATATGTAGTAACTAAAAACTACTATATTCTCTAAAACTCTACCATCCATCTCATCTGCATCCTTTCTTGCATGTCCCCTATCGAAAGCCATTGTGCCGCGACAAAGATTTCGGCTTCCGAAAGTTGCCGACTGTACTCAATAGACAAACGACACCATAAATCTCGTTTGCTCGTTCCTTTTAATGGCAACGAGTATTCGCGTAGAAACGATTACCAAGAAACATAGATCCCGAAACGATGTTTCGAATGTCTCCGAGGTCAGCGAAGAGAAAAACATTCGGGAAATTGTTGATTTAAAAGCGACTTCGCGAAAACAACCGTGTCGATGGTTTATCTTTGGCATCAATAAATCGCGTAGTTAAGGGGATAAACTTTTTTCATCGATCGATTTTTCTTGCATGCAATTTGCATTAAATCTGCTTGTAATTATGTAAAAAATTCTGTAGGTAAATATTCTCATGTATAAAGAGATCTAAGTATCCAAGAGTTCGAATTTACAAAAAATTGCTAAATTTTATGTTCTCATTCATTCTGGAATTGGTACATACATATAAACGAGAGAACTAAGACTAGATATACCCGAGAAAGGGGAAGATGCAAAGATGTCATAAATTTTCAGACAATAAAAACAGATCTATAGCTGTTCGCGACTTCGTCATCCATGGTAATTCCAAGGTCCTCCGTGAAACAGTTTCAAACTCCGAAGCATTTGCATACGGTATGTGTTACATAATGCAAACTAGAATAGCGAAAGCTCGATCACCTCGACCTCGCGCGATTTCTGTTAAATGCTTTTGTTCTTATTCTTCTCGATGCGTCACCCGTCTATCTATATTTTTCTTTCCCCCCTTCCTCCTTTCTACACATCCTGTTTTTATTTAATTTATCACCCTCTGATACATTTTTAAATTAACATATAAATGTAAGAAAGTGTTCAAATATATATATGTATATTACTTAAATTACATTTCATGCATATATCCAATAAAGTCCTCATTGACATATTTTTAATTAATCGTATAGCTAATGATATCGATAATGAGAAAATTGGTCATGCATACCACTTAGTGGTAAGTACAATTGTAAATGTCAATGTAGCTTGGATAAATACATCTAAATCGTATAGTATATCACTACACAGCTTGTATTCTCAATATGAGAAAATCTAGATTCATATAACTAATTGGATAAAAACTCGTTATATTTTTATCATATTGTTATTACTGATTATTTGAAGTAACCCATTATCAAACTTACCAATGAAGAGGAAAAAGATGAGCAATCCGAGTTCCCTCATGGAGGCCTTGAGAGTCCGCCCGAGGATTTGGAGGCCTTTACTATGCCTAGATAACTTGAATATCCGGAACACTCTGACCAGCCTGATCACCCTGAGTATCGCCAGGGACATTGCTTGGTTCGTACTCTTGTCCTGCGGGCTTACTGGCGCTTTGGGTAGATTCAGCGTGTCCTCCTCCTCGGCCACCACTGTGGCGAGGGTGATGAAGTACGGAATGATCGCGATGATATCGATGATGTTCATTACGTCACGGAAGAAGTTGAATTTGTTTGGGCAGGCGAGGAAGCGCACTATTAACTCGAATGTGAACCAGATGATACAAATAGTCTCTATTAGGAAGAACGGGTCCGTGATATCCGGCACTTCGTCCTCCTCGATCTTCGTGCCGTTCGTCGTCGTGTTGAAGACCTTGTAATGCTTGAACTCGGGCAGCGTCTCCAGGCAGAAGATCACGATCGACAGGAGGATCACGAACACGGAGATTATGGCGACCACCCGGGCGCCTTGCGAGCTCTCCGGATACTCAAACAACAGCCAGACCTTCCTCTGAAACTCGTGCGACGGCAGCGGCTTTTCCTCCTCCTTGATGAAGCCTTCGTCTTCCCTGTTTGGTTAGTCATAGCTTCGTTAATCTCACAATAGAGTTATTCTCTGTAAATCTTCTACACTTGTATCTTGTATTCGTAGTACAGAATGTTTGCAAAGTCAAAGATCTCTTTGAGAGAACTGTAGTCTTGCGGGAGCAAGATTTAGGTACAGGATTGTAACTAACAATAAGATCTGAAGAAACAAGGACATGTGAAATTGCACAGTTATGTCACCGTGTGAGGAATTTTCAAGAAAAGATCCATTCTAAATTGGTCAAAGAATCTCTAAGTATAAGTATAAGGACTACTGACAATGAGTATAATACACGTGATACGTAATTAGGACAAAAAACTATGAACGCAGGGATCTGAGATGTTAAAAATGGTGGAAAAATCTTGTAGACTTGTAAGGACGAGAATCTGTTCGTGCTAATTTTAATTGCTCATATACACCAATTCAAAAGCAGTTGTCCTCGTACCTGAACTTGTTAGTCGCCATCTCGCCCAACTCGTAGAACTTGATCTCTTCGGAGAAGACATCGAGCGGGACGTTGACCGGGCGGCGTAAGCGGCCGCCGCTCTGATAGTAATAAAGTATAGCATCGAAGGAAGGTCGATTCCGATCGAAGAAGTATTCGTTGCGTAGCGGATCGAAGTATCGAAGCCGCCGTGTCGGATCGCCGAGCAGCGTGTCCGGAAATTGGTTCAGCGTACGCAGCTGTGTCTCAAACCGTAGCCCGCTCACCTGTCGATCGCAGCAATCGATTATTGGTACAGTGGCGCCGCGCAGGGCGGGGCGCGCCGCTCAAGCGGTTAATTGGGGCGCGGGTGGGTTGTAGAAGCTGCTCGTCACAAAGGGACTAACGTATTATCGGAGATTATCATGTCGATCGAGTAGACCACTCACCTAGCGTTGTTAACTTATGTTGAGTAGCTCGGTAATTCTCGTTAAGATTTTCAATATTTTAAAGAAAAATCTATAATTCAATGTGATCAAAACCAATTTCGTCAAAATCGATGCGTCTGTTAAACCATAAATTAATCAATAAATAAAACGTTTATCAAAGATTTGTACAACGATAGATTTGTAGATATTTATAGAATTTATATATTTATATAAATAGGATATCCATGAAATTAAATATTTAAATATAAAATATTTTTGAAGCTAAAGACTAATTTATAATAAAAAAGGTACATTAAATCAACAACCTTCTATTACAAATAGCTACGGAACTTAGGATTTGCATAAACAGCGACATGTTCTAACCAATGGTTTATAAAAATTAATGAATTTAAAGAGATTAGAATTGTATTCGAGAGTGACTTATAATCATGCTTAAGATAAACAATAAAACTAATTTTTCTTGACAAAACGTCGCGGTTTATAAATTTTCTTTTAAAGAGAAATAATTCTTTTAAAGAGTAAAATTCCAGCATTTTTCGATTTAACAATAGCTCGATTAACATTGCTCACTCTGGCCAAGAACTGAATATACACTCGAGGAAAACACAAGTTATATATTAACGGCGAAATGATCAAAAAAAGAAAGAAAAAGAAGAAACCAATGAAAATAGAAAAAAAAAGAAGTGGCAAATGTGATTTCAAATAAAATATTTTTATTTTGTCGAAAGAATCTCACGGATAGAACTAGAATTGACGAGCAAAAGATAAGAGAATAAGATAAATTCGTTGTAAAGAAACAATATATTTCTAAACATTGAAGGCATCTTTTATAAAAAGAAGATTTCAGATAATCTTCAATTATGTCTCTTAACGTTTTGCTTTTTACTGAGAACTTTTACTGAGTAAAAGCATGTGTTAGTTCTCAAATGTTTATATGTGTGTGCACGTTACACATCGATCTCACGATACCTATACGCTTCACCCACGCATCGCGCAGCGTGCTTTGACCTCTACTGAGTTTTTGTGTCCATTTCGAGGCGGAAAGAAGAGTAAAAAAAAAAGAGTAAGACGCATTGATCGAACCGATTGCTGTAATTGGCGCAATGCAGTCGTGTCATCCGCGAGGACAGATAATTCCGTTCATACAATACGACCTTGATGCTATATCGCCCCCGATTCCAAGACGAACTTGGACGGCCGCCAAAACGCGGTCTGTAGGTCACTTCATGTCTTGAGATAATCTCACCTCTTCGAAAAGAAGAACGAATGTGCGAAACTAAATCGGACTAGAGTTGTCTATGCGTAAAAACATTATGCATATAATTTTAGTGCTTGTAGCGATAAAAAAGGGTAGAAACGCGATTAAACGAGAAAAAACGGATTGAAGAAAGCAATATTTAAATGGAACTATATTTATATTTGAGATATCGGTAATATTTTATCGCCTTCGCCTTAAAAAGCATTGAATTTATAGATTTATGGCGCCAAGAGTTTTGCGAGATTAAAGATCGGTGGCGCCAGGGTTCCGCGAAGACGAAACTTTTTTAGTGTTTGGCATCGAAAATTTTTCGTTCCAAGAATCGGTGCCGCCAAGAATTATAAGGAGTCAAAAACTTCTGGTTTCTCTCCCTCAAGAGAATTCTTTAATCTAAACGATACAAAATGACGATATATTTCTACAACGATGAAACGCTGTAAGTCTTTTGGCAGAGAGATTATGATAAGATAAAGTTCATAAGTCATCAGTCCATAAAGTGGGAAGATTCGGAATTAAAGTTGATAAAACGCTAAAACTTACGTTGATGACGACCCTCTCACAGAAATCATGATCGTGCGGTATGGGCTCGAAATGTGTGACGCCTGTGTATTGGGTGTGGGGATTCGTCCCATCCTCGTCCTGGCTGCTGAGTTTCGGCAGCGATCTGCAATAATCAAAGTCATATAGTGCCGTTAATATACTTTCCGACAGCACAACCAAAAATTATACTGCGCCTCTATTTCAATAACTTCAACATCTACATGATATAGAAATCATAGAAAGAAGAAATTATTAGATTGCTACATAAATTACTAGATTTAGATTAAGATTAAAATACTCATATATTGATCTAAAAAAATTTGTATAGAACAGAACCATTCTAGGATCGGCACTAATATGATACAGTAAAATACCATTTATAATTCTCTCTATAAATTTTTAACACACAATTATTGTATTGTAAATGCTCAATACTCTTCCTGCACTACATTAAGCAAGTAGATTTTCAGTTTACCAGAAAGTGGTCCGCAGGCTGTCTTATTAATAGACTATCAGGTGGACGCATGGCGTATATACGTGTCCGCTAGGCTACTAGACTTGACGTTCTAATGGCCAAATGGAAATAGACACACACAATGCATATCTATAATCTACAATACTCTACGTATGTTAATATCTACTCATTATTAGCAGTCTCTACTTGAACTTGTGTACACGGTACCGAAAGTGTGTCGAGCAATTGATGGGTGCGCGTCGGTTGCGACGATAGTCAAACAGATCGAAAAGACGAGATTCGGGTGAATGTCAGAGCGACAATCGTCGGAATTACATCGGACTATCGGACTATCGAACTATCAGACGCGTTAATTAACTCTTGAGTAAGATCAAAACACTGATATTAAAAACATATAATGACTTTGAAGATAATAATACGTTTCAAAAATGAATTAGATTAGCCTACATCCTTTTAAATATAACAATAAGAATTTTTCCTTTTACCTCAATTAAGTTCTACGAATAGTCAGAATTAGTATCACGCGATCATATATAATTAGAGAATTAATCATATGCAGGCGCTTGAGTGGCATCTTTTAAGGATGAATGAGAGGAGAACAATCCCTCTTTGAAGGTTTGAAAAGGGCGAAAGTTATTTCGCTTGAACAGAGATCGCTTTGAGAAAGAGCTTTTGTTTTGCGAAAATTCGTTCGCTAAGATAAACATACTATAAGAGATAATTTCAGGGCAGAAAATCATTGCTGATACACTAATTTTTAATCCTTGCTAATATATCAAAGATCTGTCCTAGAAAGTTTTGACTGATAAGTAGCGCAAGCATATACTTATGATACCTCAATAATATTTTTAAAATATTATACATAATTTTCTTTCTGATAAATAAAAAGATGATGTCAAATAAATATAAAACTATAAGCAATGTTCTGTCAAATTTAAGCACCGTCATACAATAAGATGCCGAAAGGCTGAAGAATCAACTTAATAAGACGCTTCTTTTCACAAGATCGCGCGATCATTCTCCGTCCTCTCGCTTAGTTTTGTAAAATGTAATATGCAATACAAAAAATTTTTAACAGAAGTGTGATTATTCCTCTTGGAAGTTATTTCGCAAAATACTTCAACATTTCTTGGTTTCTAAAATTAATCATTAAATAATCCACTTATAGAAGACGTAAAAGTCGCTCAGGGCTAGAGTTGCTTTACGAGACGTCTGATTTAAAAGCGAAGACGCATCCAGTCGATGTATCCGGCGGCAGTTACGTCGATTGGTGATTTATTTTTGGACGTCAATGGGAAGCCGATGTGACGAGGACAAACATCAATTTCAAAGTCCGTGTACCCCCGAAGCGCGGACGATGGAAATAGCACGACGTAGTAGCGGAAATAGCCACTACGCGGTCTTACACGACGATTGCCGATGACACGTGCCGCCATAAAGAAGAATTTCACGTGTAACGGATAGACTAATAAAGTTCTTACGTGCTTGATTTTAATGATACATCCATATGAAAAATTCGTAATCTCAAGAGCTAACTTTCAATATAATAGTTTCAACTCTACCAAACATTCATTAGGTTACATAGCATAATCATTTATAACACTATCATAACTATCATATCCGCTGAAAGAGTAGAAACAATAGATAATGATGATGCTTTCGTGTAAGAAGTGCAGCACTAGAGATGCAAGGATTATTGATGACAACGTTATTGTGCGTTTTATGCGCATAAGGTACATTGCGCGCAATCGTTTACAATCTCATGAAAATAAAAACGGGATTTGATTATGATTCAAGGAAATTAATCCATCGATAAATCTCAATTAACTTAAAATTTACAATACGCGCTGCATCATTTTGATATTTCGACAACCGAGCATAAGATTATTATGCAAATAAATTATTCCATCTACAATAAATATCAAATTTTTATAAAAACGTTCGCGAATAATACAAAGTACTCGACAATAAAGGGGAAAGTGTGAAAAGAAAGAAATCTTTATAAATTTATTCCACCTACGATAAATATCAAAATATCAAATTTTTATAAAAACGTTCGCATATAACACAAAGTACTTGGGAATAAAGGGGAAAGTATGAAAAAAAGAAATCCTTATAAATTTTAGAATCTTTTTTTCCATTTTCAGATACTAAATAACAAATTTAAATTCACCGATAATAAGTAAAATTTTTGATTTTATTCATTTCATATATTATATTTCCCACGTTCTCTCATGGAATATCATCAAAAATAGATTCCAAACTTTTTACTAATTTATCGCACAATTTTTTCCAATTTTAAAATTTTCTTCCCTTTTCAGATTTGTCCGAAAGTAGGTAATAAGTTTAAAGCACCGATACCTATCAATGCTAAGTGATGTAAGGCCTGATACCTATTCAGAGTGGTTGCTTCCCGTCAGAAAAGAAGCGTGAAAGGTGTCGGTCTCTAATTGGTAACGTGAGTCCGGTCTAGTGATTACGACTGAGAATCAATTCCATTTATATGATACTGTCCGACTGTACTCCCGAAAAAGTGAAAGACTATAGAGAGGACTTGAAATGAAAATAGTGGAAAATAACGGGAAACGAATTGGTCATTGGAGAAAGAAAAAAATTACGAGTATCGATTCCAATAATCTGCGATTGATCGTGCACACTAGTAATTATACATATTCGAATGTAGCTGATAAAAATATGATATATGTAGCTCTATAACTTCGCAATTTTCGGTATCTACATTTTCTAAGAATGTGGCTGAAGAAATATGTTGAAAAAAAGCGTATTTCTTAACTCGTGACTACGTAAATTTTAACGTGGGGAAACGATGATTTGCATGTATTATCTATTAACAAGATACTATATTCACCAAAATCTGTCTTTCAAAATTTATAACAACACTATCTCTCTAATCCATATGAAAAGTATGACTATTACCCTTGTGTATCATAATTTCTCTCCCGTCAAAAGACGGCGAAATCGAGGACCCTAAATATTCGCTGAGTTCTTATACCCCTCACTCTCCTTTATCTGCAACACTTCGCCTACATGAAGCATCGCTCTTTCCATTTTTATGCGACCATTCGTGTCTCGGCATAATCAGGCTGACCCATATTAAAAGAAGAGATCGAGACGGCGAAAAATGACGAAGAGCTGACTGCGCACGAATCTTCAAGGAGGAAGTTGCGTAACCTGATCCTTAGAAAAGGGTAGACTTGGATTCAAAGTCCTAACACATCACTCTTATAACCTCCTCAGGTTCAGTGAAACAATTTTCCTTCTGGAAACATAATTTTTCATTTTATCAAAATACGAAATCCAACACATGACGTTTAAGCAAGTAAATTCAAAAGGGACATGAATATTATTTTTATATAGGATGGTTACTCGTCTCGCTTGTATAGAGAAAGATCGAGGGCTCTAAATCGAAAGGTATATGATTAGACTGTTTATTATCTTTGCCAAAATAACAGCGTTAAAAATAAATAATAACTGAAATAAGAATTAACATTTTACGGTATATACAAGAAATAGAGAAGATAGAACATATATATATATATATACTGTATTAAAATTTATTATATTTTATATGATCTTTCAATGTGTATAGAAAAATGAAAGCAAAAACACATGTCAAAATTTATTAGATCTATATGCTCCGATCTCCCTAGTCACGGTCCTGACTTCATCATTAATTCAGAGCTTCTTTAAGAAGCCCGGACCACGTCGTGCTACTTTCTGCTCCTTAATGCGTCGTCTACATTTTCTCGCTGCATCGAGTACTTCACGGATAATAGAGAGGCCACTGCGGAGCGGATGCGGCAGCCCTTAACGATCTTTATAAAGTTACAATATATAAAACGAAGAGGTGCGAAAAAATCAAATGTCAGAGTAGTGGAGGAAATTGAAAGACTCATTTGGCGGAAGTGTATATTGAAGATTATGTTTTCTCTTATAATATTGCATATTTAGGTTAAAATGTAATATTGTATATTCACAATGATTTTCCCTCGCAATAAGTTAATATTTTAAATTCTTTTAGAATTTCCCTCTCTTTCTCTCTTTCTATATATATATATATATATACATATATGCATATAGCCTTCTTCGAGGGTTCAATTCTTGATGGCGGTGAAAGCGATTTAATAAAATACTTTCACAATAACAATTCCAACATGTAAATAAATATGTAAATGTAAAATAAATTTTGAACAAAGATTTCTCGAAAACGATTGCGTAATCTTGCGTGTCTTGCATATTTAGACATTCAACACTTAAGATTAGAGTATGAGTCTCATCGCTAATGCGATGCAAGTGCAAGAATGCGAACACCCTCGTGTATGCACGCACGTGACGGACTCCTACGCGAAAGGTGCATTTTCTTAACGTGCACATACGAGGATGATCTACGTATGTACTTCGAAAGAGCTTCGCACACGCAAGAGATGAACAAATCGAAAGAGAAATATCTTGTTCCCGATAATCCACAAAGCTGAATAGATTTGTATTTAATGAGGATGTGAATATTTTAATCAAACTTTAGAATATTCTATGGGTAGTCGTTAAATCCGCAAAGAATCATTTTTTTTTTTTAATTTAATAAGATATATGCTTTCTTATACAGAGGAAAGTATATTTTTTTATTTATTTTT